AGTACTAGCCGAGGTTCCAGACGAATGGAGAAACTGACAGTGGCGTTCCAACAACTGTGTGCATTTTAGCCAGGTCGGCAGAGTCTTGTAGTCCAGCGATTCCTTCCACTTAATCCGAGTTGGCTGATCACACTTCTCCATAACTATATATATGAGCATAGCTTGAGCAATATTCTCAGGTTTGCCGATGGATTCCAAAGAGCTGAAGATAGCGGAGGCTTTATCCACTAAACTACGAAGCTGCTGACTGTTAGCCCTTTCCACAGGTTGTAGTGCAAACAATGATTCGATTCCTTCTAGAAAAATAAGAGTAGAATTGTCATAACGTTCTTTGAGTTTTTCAAAAGCCTTCGGATAGTTTTCGCTGGTAACCTGGAATGCCTGAACTGTGTCTAACGCCGGCCCCTTTAGGCAGGTCAGCAAATAATTAAACCTTTCTATGTTAGACAGTCCAGACTCACGCACAATAAGTTGATCGAACGAATTTATGAAATTCTTATAATTCTCATAAGTGCCGTCAAACGTAGGCAGCGACAACCTCGGCAACGATGACCGCACTGGCGGCGGGTGGTGATCCGGCGTCAATATGCTAGCGTTCAGATCTCCTCCTAGTTTTTCCTTTATGGATAGCTTTATTGCTATGTAGGTATCTTCCAAGTCCGCACGTCCTTCATCGTTCGGACTAAGATTCTCGATGTCAGATTGAACGTTTAGAATTTTCTTGAAATACGTTTCCAAGATGCTCAAATTGGGTTTTCCGATTTGCCTTCCACCACAGATTTGATACGAGAAATATTGCGCTTTATATTGCTCCGTTGGCGTTTCAAATCTTCGAGCGTCGTCATTTTGTTGTGTAGTGTAAATTACATGCACACAGAACTAGAGATTCCAAATTCAAATTCACGCAACAACAGCAAGCAGGCACCAGATCAGCAGCAGCAAGAGAACAAATTTAGAAGCGAGCGACGGCGACAAAAAAAAAGGGTTTAGCGCAATTCCAGTCCAGAGAGTGAGCAAAAATTCCAACGACGGCAACGAAAGCGAAAGTGAAGCAGAGAAATTCGAAGAGATAGATAACTGCGTTGACCGATGGACCACAGCAGGTAGCAGCAATGCAAACGAAGAGCGCAAGCGCCGTTAAATGCGATGTGGGTGATAAGCGAATGATAGAATTAAGCGAGAATGGCGAGAGCACAGTGAGAGGTTGATGAACCCGCGATCGATCAGTTCGCTTCTGATATGATTTTCAGAAATTTCGATGGCGACTGCGAGACGAAACGAAAGTGTAGTTGTTGCACTTGCAAATTATGTACCGACGAGGCTGTTTGATGGAATATACATAAAATGCGAGTAATTTAATTGTTCACAGAAATAACACACGAGCCCCACGTTGGGCGCCAAAATGTTTGATCGAGGAGCGTTTTCCTCAATATCGTTGTTCAAGGATGGGGGTGTGTCAATCTCCAAGTGAGCTAATTAACTCGATGCGAAGAAATCTGCTGGAATCCAATAATAATCCGAAAAGTCGAGGGGGTTCAGTTGAGTGCTAGCCAATGACTATTTATTTGGTTTCTAAGTGCATGAGCACTGAGCATAAGCGGGCTTCTGTGTGGTGAATTCAATTACAAATTTAGTGCAAGAGCGTAACAAAGAGAGTAAAACATGAGCGTAAGGTACTACAAGGCGAGGGTCATTTAAGTGATTATTATATTATATTATGGCCTTAAGAGTTTGATCGAACAGTCGCTGATCATAAAATTTCTACCATCTACGATGTCCCACATATTATAAAATCATTACGAATTATCCAAGTGAAAAATTGTATCGGAATACCTGATGGACCAGTGTCATGGAAAATAGTTAGCAAATTGTTTGAAATTGATGCCAACAACTCTGTTACAAGATTATGTTCCAAATTAAAACGTAAGCATATAGACCCTAATTCATTTGAAAAGATGAAAGCGAAATATTCTACACAAGTATTTAGCCACACGGTATCCTCTGCAATCAAAAACATTAATTGAAAATCATATTAAAATGATATTTTCTTCGAAAGGGTAAATAAAATGTTTGATTTCTTAAACAGCAATAACACTATTCAACACTAGAATAAGGCTGTGGCCCAAAATATAGATTCTTATAGATTTCGGGGCTTACAAATTTTTAACGAATTATGTTTTTTTTATGGTGTAGTTTTTTTTAAAACAATTTTTTTAAATCTTATATTTTTTTTTTTTTTCTCAGAGGTAGTGCTTCTATTTTTCACATAACTTAAGTATCTTATATCTGGTTGCATACAACTTTACAGTTTTGAAAAGCTGCTAAATGCAACTATAAATCGTACCCAGACACTTTGTATCAGCAGCTTAACGCCTGGAAGATATTAAGCTTTCAAATTCAAATTTCATCATTTTTTGCGGTATTTTTTTTTTCTCGAAATTTTGACTTTAAAAACTCGGGAAAAGTCGAACAAAAAACATTTCTTGGCTAAGTTTTAGATAGACGCATTAATTAGGCGTCTTTTAAGGTATTTTTCATTAAAATCTATGGATAAACGGTGGAGCTAAAATTCGTTAACCAAACCTCAAAATGAAAAAATAGACAAAAAATACTTTTTGGAAGGGCCCAACTGCCAATTGGAAACAAAGCAAACGAAAATTGGTTGAATTTTTGGTAAAAAGATATAAGATACTTAAGTTATGTGAAAAATAGAAGAACAACCTCTGAAAAAAACCATGAAAAAAATACCAGATTTTAAAAATTCTTAAAAAAAATTTACACAATAAAAAAAATAATAAAGTACTACAAAAATTTTTATATCCCGAAATTGATCAGAAAAAGTCATTTTGGTTCACAGCCTAAATAAAAAGTTCAATTTTGTCGAGTAGTGTAATCTAACAACCCAATGAAGTCTGCTTTAAACAAAACAGCAATGTGGAAAAATATCGCGCGATTTTTAACAAAAGAAATCACCGCCTGCAACGCTTTCCAACTTCTTAAGGCCATCGACGAATATGTTTTACGAATTGACTCCTTGGAATTACATTGCAGCGCTCTACATTCCTTATTATATCCGTACTAAAAAAGAGTTAAGGGGTATATTAGATTTGTGATATAAGTGGATGTGTGTAACGCAGAGAAGGAAACGTTTCTGACCCCATAAGGTATATATATTCTTGATCAGCATCAATAGCCGAGTCGATATAGCCATGTCTGTCAGTCCGTCCGTCCGTCTGGTTTGTCGCCTAGATCTCAGAGACTATAAGACATTGAGCAACCAAATCTTCTTTCCAGGCTAATTTTATATCACACTGCTACAAGTGTATTTCAAAATTTCGCCCCGCCCCCTTCCGCCCACCCCTAAGGACGAAAATCTGTGGCAGCGACAATTTTGAAGATACCAGAAAAGTAAAAGCGTAGTATCGTAGAGAATCATCATATCTACCAGATTGCCGAATCTGAATCAGATCGGATCATTATTATAGCCAGAATAAAGAAATTTTTTTCAGTTGCTTTCCTCACCACCGTCAGCACGAGACCACGTTACTCATTCTCTTTCTTGCTCGCACACACTCTGCCCTGTGCTATGCGCGACCTTTGCGGACAAGATTTAGAATCTGCATTTCAGATGTGGAATCAACATTGTAGATGTAGATGAAGATAACAAATGTAGCAAAAGAGGTCAAATGTAAAAATATTTTAAAATTCTACATAAATCATAAGTTCAAAAATTTATATACTGACTGAGTAGGGCTATAAGAATAGAATGGAGTCCACAGAAGCGACTCACACGTTCCTTCTCGTTTTTTCCTTATTACATGAGAGTAAGAATCCGGTATTTCCCGATGTAGTATCACCAATGGAAACGGTGCACATAATTTCACATTCTGGGAATTTTTTATAACGTTAACGTTAACATAACGTTTTAGTCCGACAAAAAAATATTAATCTGTCGGCCGAATTTACCGCTAAAAACCTCCTATAAATAAAAAATAAACATTTTTCGACATATTTTCAATGTCAAAAATCATATAAAAAAGTGTGCAAATTGTGACATTTTCTTCAAAAACACACCTAATTATGTATACATTTTGTGTAGGCAAAAATAAAACTTTGAAATTCCATTAAAAAATAACCATAAATCGCGGTCCATCGAGGGTATGTTTTCTCGCGATTTTAGGAGCATAGGCCCGTATATCGAACATTTACCAAAAAATGTAAGCCCCAAATCTATCAGAAAAAGTAGGATTGGTTCCTTTAGGGAAAAAAGTTAAAATATTGTCGAGTGGTATAATTTATTAATTTTATTCCCGGGACTTGTTATATTAATTTAAGTGAAAATACAAAATATTTTGATTGCATTTCTTTCCCGAAAGAATGGATATATCCAATATTGCGGAACCCTTTAAAATTCTATATCAAGTGCAAATTATCCAAAGCGCTTACTCAAAAAAAGAATTTCCCCACCACTTTTCGACTGAGACCTACTACATCGTGGCATTGAATATGCTGTGATGAAAATTATATTTCGGCTGTTCAAAGTCAAAAGATTTTATTTGTTTGCGAAAATATTTGCCATAGATACGGATAGTTGTAAAGGTCTAAATATAAAGCTACATGAGTAGCTTGCGAATCTTCCCTTCTTTTTCTATACTTACTGTCTAGATGGTCTCTTGCTCTTCAAACGAAACAATTGTTTTCAAATGTCTAAAAGCTTTAATAAGTGAATTAATGTTTTTTGACGTAAGGCGGATTTACGATATAGCGCTTTACGCTCGTAGACTCGCATGAATGATCTGTATGACTATGTGTCATTGAGATATATATGTAGGTTAATGGGTCGGAGATGCTTTATTCTTTGCGTTACTGAGGTTTTGCAAACTTTTGATTTTTGCTTATTTTATATCAAAATTAAATCAGCAACTGCTTAATATAAAAAATACGAATGTTATATCGACTATGGTAATCTTATTTATTAGTTTTGAACATATAGTACTTACCTGGTATAAGTTGGTATTGCTGACCTGCCTTTAGCAGTTTGCAAAAAATTTGATAACATATTCCAATTTTGTTGATCATAATTTACGGGAAAAGGACCAATTTCTTCTTTATTTATAATAATAAATTGATTTTTGTCAGGCAGATTGGCTATGTTTATTTGCTTAGTCCTATTCATCCACACATTAGAGGTATAATTCGACAAGCTAAGAGTGTCTGGACGACTAATTAATATTGGAATCCACCATAGCATTTTTTCCTTCTCGGGTACGTCATGAGGCCTTTCCCTAAGATACACTTTTTGTTTTATTATTGCAGTTCTTTTGTAATAGTCTCTATTAACAGATATAAGCGGTAAGCGATTTTGATTGATCCATGATTTCGCAATATATGATATATTGAAGTGACTGTCAAGTGTTCCATCCCTAATTGCTTGGTTGGATAGTACAGCCCAAAGGTCTTCCCCGATATATGTTTTATATTTATATTTTAAAATAAATTTGCGTAGTCCATTTTGAAATGTAACTTTCCCCAATGTAAGATTAAGCATTCGAAAAACAAGCTCTGTTTTGAATGATTCGGTTTCTTGTTTCATTCCAGTAATCCGTGAATGAGGATATCTTTTGCTTAGTTCATAGTACAAAGAGTAAAGAATTGTCATAGGATATTTTCCGTTAAACTCCACACCACCATCTATCTACGCGCATAGATTTCAAATTAATGTACATCATTTACAACAAGTACATCATTTCTATGTTAACTTACCGTCATAACGAATTCTGCTGCTAAAAAACTGGTCAAAGCTTTGTTCAAATTTGCCTCACTCCACCATTCGGGAGTAATCCACGAACCAATCCACTGATTTACAAGCTCGCGCGCCAACACTAAATACCCCTTCTTAAGAAGTTCAGTCTCTCTAGAAGAACAAGTTTGATATTGTATCGAACTGACTTGTACAAAAACATGTTACCTCAAGGTCAGTATGCCCCAAACTCCTATAGAGTTTGCGGTTGGTAAATCCGGAATTGCAAGCACATCAATTTTAGACAATGGAATTGTTAAATTAAAATAAGCGTTGATAGTTTTATATATTAATACAACCTTCTCGTGGATTTCCTAAAAAAAATTTGAAAACGACGGTAATAATTGTAAGTTTTTTGTCTAATTCCCATTAAGAACAACTCACCTTTGAGTCTGTGTCGAATTTGTTACTCCAAATATTTATAGTTGGCGAAGGTAGACTGTATGTTTTATTTATAGGATCAATATTCAACCGCTGAAGTTTTGATACTACAAATCCAAATGTAAATGTTGGCATTGGCGGTGTTTTTACAAAATAATCCAACATGTAGTTGTTTAAAAAAGGGCTGCAAAAAAACTTTATTATTATATATATAAATATATTTTTAGTATAGATCTAACTCTTGACTTAAGAAGAATCCAGGGAGACAATAAATAAAATCATACAATTTTTTTCAAATTGTAAGTTTTAGGTTTGCTACCACGAAAAGAAAATACACTTTTTATACCCGTACTCAAAAAAGAGTTAAGGGGTATATTAGATTTGTGGTAAAAGTGGATGTGTGTAACGCAGAGAAGGAAACGTTTCCGACCCCATAAAGTATATATATTCTTGATCAGCATCAATAGCCGAGTCGATATAGCCATGTCGTGTCTGTCTGTCTGTCTGTCTGTCTGTCTGTCTGTCTGTCTGTCTGTCTGTCTGTCTCGATGAGCGCCTAGATCTCAGAAACTATAAGAGCTAGGGCAACCAAATTTGGTTTCCAGACTCATGTGATATCCCACTGCTACAAGTGTATTTCAGAATTTCGCCCCGCCCCCTTCCGCCCCCACAAAGGACGAAAATCTGTGGCAGGCACAATTTTAAAGATACGATAAAACTAAAAACGCAGTATCGTAGAGAATGCCCATATCTACCAGACTGCTGAATCTGAATCAGATCGGATCATAATTATAGCCAGAATGACGAAATTAATTTTCAGTTGCTTCCCCTGCCACCCCTCCAACAAACGACAACGAAACTCATTTTCCTTCTCGCTCGCACACTTTACCGCGTTCAGTGCGCGAGCAACCCCTAGCGGAAAAGATGTAGAATATGAATAGTACATCTATAATCTACATGTTAGATGTAAAATATACATTGTAGATGTAGATGTAGATAACAGATGTAGCAAAAAAATTTAATATGTAAAATTTTTTTTTATACCCGTACTCAAAAAAGAGTTAAGGGGTATATTAGATTTGTGGTAAAAGTGGATGTGTGTAACGCAGAGAAGGAAACGTTTCCGACCCCATAAAGTATATATATTCTTGATCAGCATCAATAGCCAAGTCGATATAGCCATGTCTGTCTGTCTGTCCGTCTTGTTGAGCGCCTAGATCTCAGAGACTATAAGAGCTAGGGCAACCAAATTTGGTTTCCAGACTCATGTGATATCACACTGCTACAAGTGTATTTCAAAATTTCGCCCCGCCTCCTTCCGCCCCCACAAAGGACGAAAATCTGTGGCAGGCACAATTTTAAAGAAACGATAAAACTAAAAACGCAGTATCGTAGAGAATGACCATATCTACCAGACTGCCGAATCTGAATCAGATCGGATCATAATTATAGCCAGAATGAAGAAATTAATTTTCAGTTGCTTCCCCTCCCCCTTCCGCACACGACAACACAACTCATTTTCCTTCTCGCTCGCACACTCTGCCGCGTTCAGTGCGCGAGCAACCCCTAGCGGAGGAGATGTAGAATATGAATGGAACATGTACAATCTACATGTTAGATGTATAATAGACATTTCATATGTAGATGTAGATAGCATATGTAGCAAAAAAATGTAAAATGTAAAATTTTTTTTTTTTTCTAAAATTCTAAAAAATCATAAGCTCAAAAGTGTATGTATATACTGACTGAGTACGGGTATAAGTAGAGTCGTGTCCCCAGAAACGACTCACACGTTCCTTCTCGTTTGGTTTAAAAAACATAAAAAAAAATAATTCGTCGGTTTCTTCAAATAATATTGAAACTAAGAAACTAGTGTTTGATCGAGGAGCGTTTTCCTCAATATCGTTGTTCAAGGATGGGGGTGTGTCAATCTCCAAGTGAGCTAATTAACTCGATGCGACGAAATCTGCTGGAATCCAATAATAATCCGAAAAGTCGAGGGGGTTCAGTTGAGTGCTAGCCAATGACTATTTATTTGGTTTCTAAGTGCATGAGCACTGAGCATAAGCGGGCTTCTGTGTGGTGAATTCAATTACAAATTTAGTGCAAGAGCGTAACAAAGAGAGTAAAAATGAGCGTAAGGTACTACAAGGCGAGGGTCATTTAAGTTATTATTATATTATATTATGGCCTTAAGAGTTTGATCGAACATCCCGGCCCCGTTGAAAGGATTGCTTTCAAACTACCGGAAGAATTGCCAACTTGTGTACTGGCCTGCAGCAAGTTCCATTCGCGGTGCGGAGGTGCACCACGCGTACACGACCATCCCTTCCGAGCACTGTAGACTGCACTCGGCCTAGTTTCCAGCGTAGTGGGGGCAGGTTGTCCTCATGAATGATGACCATTGTGCCCTCAGTGAGATTCGTTGAGGGTGCTGTCCATTTCGTGCGAGATCACAATTCGTTGACGTAATCCATCGCCCATTGCTGCCAAAACCGTTGCTTGACGGCGGTGATCATGTCGTAGCGGTCCAAATTCGACAACTTGACGTTTTCGAGGGATCTCTCAGGCAACGAACGCAATGATTCGCCAACCAAGAGGTGACCAGCCGTAAGAGCGTTGAAGTCGTTCGGGTCTGACGAGAGTGGTGATATCGGGCGCGAGTTAAGGATGGCTTCTATCTCCACTACGACGGTGCTCAGTTCTTCAAACGTAAACCTTGTGTTTGCCAATGTTCGATTCAAGAGCCCTTTCGCACTCTTGACGGCCGCTTCCCAAAGGCCTCCGAAGTGAGGTGCCCTGGGAGGAATAAAGTGGAAATTAATAAAATCTGTGGCGCAAAATCTATAAATTTCATCTTGGGTCTCCTTTTTGAACATAAACCTTTTGAGTTCAAGCAGTTGATTTGATGCCCCGACAAAATTAGTGGCATTATCGCAGAAAATGTCTGCCGGAAATTTTCGACGACCTCCCATCCGCTTCAATGCATTCAAGAACGCCTTCGTTGATAAGTCCGAAACTACTTCAATGTGAACGGCTTTGGTGAGAAGGCAAACGAACACGGCCAAGTACGATTTTGTAGGCCCCTTTCCTCGAATCCGTAGATAGGTATTAATGGGTCCACAAAAATCCACTCCACAGCGTTCAAACGGTCGGGCAGGAGAGAGTCGAGATGGTGGTAATGAGCCCATAAGTTGGTGTAGCAGCTTTGGTCTGTAGCGAACACAGTGTACACAGGAGCGGACAATTCGACGTGCCAAGTCTCTGGCGTTAACGATCCAGTATTCCAAACGAATGAGAGCGACTAAAGCCTTAGGGCCAGCGTGATAGTTGCGAATATGCAAGTGACGAATATAATTCCAAACAAGTTTAGACTGGCTAGGCAGCAGCAACGGATGTTTTTGACCGTCTGGTAGGTCTGAATATTCCAATCGTCCACCAACCTTGACGAGCTCGAATCCATTTACGAGTTCTAAAAAGGGAGTAAGAAACTTCAAACTACTCTTCAATGGTTTTTGCTTCTGAAGTAAACGAATATCTTCTGTGAAATGAGTTTGTTGAATGTTCCAAATAAGGCAGTGCGACGCAAAACGAAGCTCATTTGGTGTCGGTGAGAATGTGGTAGGCGTCGATTGCTTCCGACATCTCTTTATGAACCTTACCATCCAGGCAATGAGACGAAGACTATGACTGTACGAGCTGACATTATCGACTATCTCGAGGATATAATTTCTCTCCTGTACCGCGGTGAACATGCTTTTCCGCTTCTCCGAGTTGACCACGTCCATGTCAATGACAAGCTGTTTACTGCTGGTGGGCCATTTCAACGAATCTTCCAGCAGAAATAAGGGACCAGAAAACCATGTCGATTTGATAAGCTCGCTAACGTTGCAGCCTCGCGACAGAAGATCAGCTGGATTTTGATATGTTGGGACGTAGCGCCACTTCCCACCAGACGTCATGTCGAATGTCAGAAACCCTATTCCCAAGAAAGGTCGATAACGTGATTGAGTGTTGTTGCAGCCAATGCAATACGAGCTGTGAGTCGCTCCAAAAATATGACGTGATGTTGTGTTCAGAGAATATATCCTTGATTTTGTAGAACAGCTGAGACAGCAAATGTGCGCCGCACAGTTCAAGCTTCGGAAGAGACTGTTTCTTCACTGGTGCTACTCTCGACTTAGACGTGAACAATTTCACTGCGACCTGTCCTAGCGAATTCTCAGTGCGCACATAAATACAGCAGCCATATGCCCGAATCGAGGCATCGCAAAATCCATGCAGTTGAATAGTCCTGGCGTCGGGCTGCAAACAAAACCGCGGTACCGATAGTGACGAGAGTGAATTCAATGACTCCAAACAGTTGCTCCATGCATTGCTTAGAGTCTGTGAAATAGACTCGTCCCAATCCAGTTTTAACAGCCACAACTCCTGAAGAATAATCTTAGCGACGATGACTAGCGGCGACAGCAGACCGATTGGATCGAATAGCGATGATAGCGGTGGATAAGATTGTTCGTTTTGTGGTGGTGGCAAAGATTTCCTTGGGAGTGAAGGTAAAGCTAAATACATCAATTTGTTGATGCCACGTTACGCCGAGTGTGCTACTACTCTCATTCTCTGATGTGTTTAGTTTCTTAATAGAGTCATCTTCCATCACGCCTGGATGATTGGAATGCCATTTGCATAAGGGAAACTGACCATAAGCGAGGGTAGCTGTGATTTCTGTTTTGAGTTTGAGAAGAGTTTCTATTTCATCAGCCCCTCCCAGAAGATCATCAACATAAAACGCCTTTTTAACAGCCGCAGCTCCTAAGGGCCACATATCCTTACAATCATCCGCCAAGTGATGCAAACTACGAGTTGCGAGGTATGTGGCGGACGCGGTCCCATATGTTACGGTATTGAGTTGATAGGTTTGAAGCTCGGCATTTGGGGACGTTCGCCACAAAATATACTGGAATTTTCGATCCTTCTCCCCCACAAGCACCTGTCTATACATCTTAGTGACGTCAGCAGTGATGCCGAACCTATGCATGCGGAATCGTAGCAATTGCAGGTACAAATCCTCCTGAATGGTCGGACCGACTAACAGAATATCGTTAAGTGACTTCTGCGATGTTGTATGGCAAGAAGCGTCAAATACGACTCTGAGCTTCGTCGAGGTGCTGCTTGGCTTGAGAA